CACGTGATACGATCCAACGATGCACGATGCCGCGGCCAATTACGATGTTAACAACGTTACGCGCGCGCACCACTGTGAAACTGAATTTACCGCTGGTGGTCCATTTTTAACGCTGAAATTTTTCTCCGGAACGGGGAGGGGAAAGAATCGCGCGTACAGAGATTTCTCCGGCCACCGTTCTTTCGAAACCGAACGTTCCCGTCCTCTTTCTCCCTTGTTCTCTCTTTCGAGCCTATTTCCTCCGCGCACCCTTTTCCATCGTGTAACTCTTTGTTTGCGCGACTAACCGCGATTATTTCTTCCTTTTAGCCCGGGCTAAGTTTTTTTATTTTTTTCTTTTCTCTTTCTCTCTCTCTCTCTCTCTCTTCGCGGAGAGGAGAAGATTGGATTTTACGTAGTTTCCGGATCTCGTTCGTTATCGAACTCGCAAGTTTTCTCTTCTCGTTCTGGAGAATCTTTTTTTCCATCGTTTTTTATTTTCTCTCTTTTTTTTTTCTTTCGCCATTTTTCCGCTCCTGTTTTTACGCGGGTCGTGACGTGCGTATGACGTGCGCGACGCGTCTCTTTGTCGTTGAGTAAAAGGATCAGGGAGTTTCTTTTTCTTCTCGGAATTTTTTCTCGAAAATTTTCTTCATTATACGACTTTAACGACCGAGCTTTTATTTACGCGCGAAATTCCACGCTCGTTATCCCAAATTGTGATTTCTTTTTATTAAGCCATGCAGAGTTTTTGGACAGCGTTTTTAAACTCCTCTTATCCTTCGCTTATTAACCAAATCGTTGGAGCAATGTTGTTAAAAATCGACAGAAAGAACGGACGATCTATTTCCACAAAATTCGAAGCCTGGACGAAAAGTAAACATTCTCTTTCCCATATACTATCAGGCTTTTGGCACAGTGATACATCAATCTTTTTATCGATTCTTGTACACGCATCCGTCACTCCGTGATAATACACACAAAATTCTCTATATTAAAATTTATATGATAAAATCGTTCGTTCGCCTCGACGACGAAAATTAATAATACGAGATCTTTTTAAATAACTTTAATTCTCGATAATTCGAAGAATCGATCGTACGTTTCTCGCACGAATGGACGACCCATTTTCACGCATAACGTTCAATTCATTCGATTATAAATTATAAAGTGTTAAAAAATTAAAAGATCCTTGATAGTTTTAGGGCTCGTAAAAGTCCATAAAGACTTGGACACGATTCTGTGCAACTCTCTTGCGACATTTTCCATGTTTTAGCGAATGTAGCCTAAATAAAAGAGAAGGAAACGGGGCTAGATGATCGGCAACAGAGGTTCCCGAAGTAAAGACCGATGGTGTGCGGTCTGGCTCGTGAATTTTTCACCATTTCACCCGGACGTTAGCCCGCCTCTTATTAAACATGCACGCGTGTTCGAGCGTTTTTTCATTTTTAAACAAGAGAGATCCAAGGGAGCGGGCCCGTTGCCGCATAAAATTTTAATCCGACTTAAACGTGTCAACCAGTAGGAGAATCCGAACGATAGCTGATCCTGCTTTCGCCTCGTTTGAATTTTCACCAGAATACGACTTTATTGAGTTTTCCCGCCTAATGTTATCATACGAGGCTTCTTTTCTTTTAACAGATTATTTTATTTATTTTTTTTTTTTTTTAGTAAATTATATACATCTTTCTTTTCAATAAATATCCTTCAAAAAATTATCAAAGTATTTTCCTTATGCACATACGAATAAGAATGAAATGATTTTAAGTAATTTGATTCGAATAAAGGATTAATTCCATCAACATGGAAATCAACGTTTTCATTCCACCAATTAAAATCCATTCTTCTTCTATATCTCTTAATTGAATCTAATCTCGAAACAACGTTCGTTTCGCCACGAGGCGGGCAAGAACTTCTTCTAAAGTTTCTTCAAAGAACGGTGGTGGTCGATGCTGTTTCGAATCCACTTTTAACCGAGTCCTGGCTCGAAAAAACGAAGCGAGACGAGGTGAAAGGGGGAGACACGAGAAAGAGAGAGAGAGAAGGGAGGTGAAAAGTGGAGCACCGAAAAGCTATTTCCGGTCGAGGAGGTCCGCGTCGGGCCCACGAAGGGGTACGAAATGACCGACTTAAGCTAGTTTTACTGCGAGACAAACCGGAAGTGATTCGGCTACGACCGAAACACTTCTTCCCTCTTTTGAACAGGGGTAAGAAAGTTTACCTCTCCCCTTCCCTCCTCCCACCCAAGCCTCTCCGTTCCTTTTTGGCCGGGATTACGGGCCTTGGACGAACATCCATTCTCGTTTAACGCCTTTATTTACCGTCCACTGCTTTTCCGTTCAACCCCTTCCATCCCCTCTCACCCTCTCTTCCTGACCCACTTCTTGACTCCTTCGCTCCTCTTCTTCTCCTTCTCCTCCTTCTGCTCTTCTTCCATTCTCTCTCTGCTTCCTTCGTTCTCGTTCGTTGACACTCGATTATCGCGGTGGTTTGAAGAGCAATCGCTCCATTCCCCCACTTCCTCTGCAGTCTTTTTGCTCCTCTTCCTCTTCCGCCCAGTCGTTTAATTATTCGGATGATTCCTCTCGAGCATTCCTCGTTTCGAGTATTCTCTCACGATTGACCATGGTTTTAATAACGTTGGTCGAATCCTAACCTTGATCGAAGAAGCAAGATTGCTCGTCTTAGAGATCGCTCGAAAATAACAAACAAAATTGTTTTTTACCGCTTCTTTCTCGCGAAATTGAACACACTTTTTTTTTTATTCCGTTATATTTAATAAACCCTTCCTCCCTTCCAGCCACGCAAATTACGTAACAATTAATTAAAACTCGAGGCGTAAGATCGATCAGACTAGTAATTCCCCCTTCCCCTTTATTTATAATAACCCTATGTACATATATATATATATTATAAAATAAATCACATAGATCCTCTTAGATTACGATATCGCGAAATAATGGTAACAAAGAACATAAACCAATTAAACCGTTCGTAATACCTCTCCCCTTCCTCCCCTGTTGCCACCATCCCCCTCTGTCATCGGGAGAATTATTCATTTATTATAATTAATACAACGCGTTACGAATTCCGGTAAAAATCAGACACGGGAGCGAGCAACTGAAACAACACCTTCCCGTCGCCCGAAAACACTGCCCCCTCCCCTCATTCCATTATCGCGGGTGGCGGATCGATTCGAGGCCGATTCGAGGAAAGCCGGGCAGGATCACGAATCGAAACACGGCCCTCGTTATTATTCCAACCCCGCGTCGTTCCCAGCCACGGCGCATCGATGCGCCACATCGGCGATATGCGTAGAACGCGTTTGCGGAGGCCGCGTCCTCGCGACGCAATTCCGGCCGCGGAAACTTTCGCAAACGCGTCGGCTATCGGCGGAGTGGGGAAACGTTTCGCGGTGGTGAAACCCGGGATCCGCGCTCCCAGGAACCCGGAGCTCATTATTCGCAGCGCGCGTTTCGTATAACGGGTGAACAGGAATAATCCACTCGGTGTTGCCGAATCCGATCCTTTTGCGCGAAAGGAGGAGAATAAGGGAGAAGGGGGGGAAAAGATGGCAAGAAATTAGGCCGACTAGGGGATTGTTGTTGTTGCGTCGGGATCGTGGGTAAGAAAGAATATATATGAATTCTTTGAGCCCTAATGTGCGATGTTTTCGAAAATTTCGGTACGAAATTAGGGTAATTGGAGATATCGATTCTATCTCCGCCAGTTCCAAGTAGATTATCCGGTTTTAGGAGATGCTAATATCCGCGTTTCAGAATTACGTACGGAATAAGTGATTTGAGAGATAATTCTGCGATCGTGCGTTTGAAATGGATAATTTAGAAAAAAAAATGTAATTCTAAAGATTCCTTTTTTTATCTCACTAATTGCGCCTATATTTCGCCTAATTTTTTCCCTTTCCCGTCGCAGACTCATTTTGCTCGGCATTTTTTCCAACGTCCTCCCGAAAAATCTATAAATCCAACGAAGGTGGGAAGGTACGCGTACGTCAGGACCATTCGTCAGCGGACGGATTGCGGCGCCAGGAGGAGGAGGGGTGAAGAGGACAGATAAGATAGTCAGATAACATAAACGGATAACTTTTTTCGGGTGTCAGTCGGTTCCGTGTCACGCGCAATAAAGCCGCGAGCGATTTTTACGATGCAGGGGGTGTATGGTGGTGGATCGCACGAGGTAATTCACCCTCGGAAGGCAGTTCACGCCCCGCTGAATAATACGCGTATTCGTGTGAAAAAAGAAAATTTCTTTCTTTCTTTTTTTTTTTTTTTTTTTTTTTTTTGGGGGACGATCATTTAGAGATTTTTCTTTTAAATCTTGGATTGAAATCGCGTGTTATTTTCGCGATAAATTTAAAAAAAAAAATTTACAGTTGGAAAGGATTACCGCGAAATGTTCAATCGTTATTTTANTCTATCTATCTATCTATCTATCTATCTATCTATCTATCTCGAGAGAGAGAGAGAGAGAGAGAGAGAGGAGGACGATTTTAAAATTGCAACGCTACGTTGAAAATCTCCTCCCCTTCCCTCCCACTGCCTTTCTACCTCTTTGATTACTTTCCGCTTCCCTTAAATAAAAGGGAACTCAATTGCTTCTCTTGTCTCTTAAACAAAGAGCCGCCATTATATCGTATTTCACGTTTCTCGAACGTGATAGAGAATCGTTCTTCCAATGTGTTAAATGGCGTTTGCAAGTCGGGTGAGCGTCGGGCAATAACGAAACCGGGAAGAAAGAAAAAGGGGGAAATTTCCTGGCGGAACTTGTCGCCGTCTTGAGACGAACACAACACACAATGAGAAACCAATCTTCCCTCGCCCGATAATTGTTAACATTTAACGTGTATAATAACGCGCGAATTCTAAGAGATGCGGACTCTGAAAATGCAAATTACATCGTAACAGTAAAGCTCACTTGCAGCGAGAAGGGGGAAGGGAGGAGGGAGGAGGTGAAGTTGGCTTTATATCTCTACAAAGGATATTTCTTCGAATTGTTTGCAGATTGGTATCGTCCCCCGCGAGGCAGAACGAGGCAGGTGGTAGCAGCGGCGGCGGAGCGACGCAACACGCGGCGACTTTCGCCGTGCGGGTGGGCACGATGGACGGCGTGGTGACGCATCATCTACGCGCCGAGACGAGGAGGGACCTGGCCGCCTGGGCCAGGGCGATCGTTCAAGGCTGCCACGCGGCCGCTCATTCGTTACGCGAGTACACCGTTCGTGAGTACATTTTTCCAATATTTTTCAAAATTCTTCTTCGAATTCCTTGCGTCGAAAAGTTTTCGAAATCCGTTACCGATCATATTTTGTCTTCGAACTTTAAAAGAAGCTTCCCCCTATAAAAGAATTATTCTATCTGTAAAATTCTAAATGCTAATTTTCCCGTTGATTTATGAAAGGAACCGAGACGATATATTATCAAGCGATAATACTGTAGGTTCGGGATACGGTAGATTAAAAAAAAAAAAAGAACCAAGAATAATCTCGTTCGAAACAAGGGGATGAGAGGAATGTGAGAGGGAGAGGGCATGCATCTTTACGTGCGAGAAAGAAAAAAAAAGAAAACCGGAACGGGATGTAACCTCGTCCGATGGTTAGCAACGCGTTCGCTTCGATGAATTTTAATTTCTTTCCACGGTGAATAGTGCAATAATAAATCGAGATTAATGCCCTGATATCCAGCCCTTCTTTTTCCCCGTGCGCATCGAACTCCATCGATCATGATTCGCGGCGGAATTCTTCTCCTGACCCCGAACCGGAAAGACGCGGAGGACGATGGAAAACTGCCGCGAGAAATATCGTTGAATACGGGTTTCGATTTCCTTTTTTTCTTTTTTTTCTTTTTTTTGATTCGTGCCTAGATTTCATCCGAGAATTTTCTTTCCTTTCTCTTTCCCTCCCTCTTTCTCTCTCTCTCTCTATCTTTCTTCCCTTTTTTAAATCTCTTTTCTTTCGTGATTCAACGATGTTATTCATCCGAGCTCCGTTTCATCGTGAAAATTATTTTTCAATTCGGTGCCGATTGGCTGCCGTTTAATTTAACTCGATTTCATTGCCGAACTTCATTTATTCCCTCGAAATATGCACACCTTCCTATTTTACTTGACGATTTTAATTTTATCGAAAAAAAAAAAAGTTAATTTCTCACTCGTCTCGATTGTTTAATTTAATTTAATTCGATTTAATTAAAAAATTCTTGTCTTTCGACTCATCGTCCATCCGCGCGATCCGTACACGATTCATTAAAATTCGTTATTTGTTCGTGATCGTCGAGTCGATTAATATATTCACGCGTGATAAAATTCTAATTTTCACACTCTTTCGTTGTTGTTTGTCGCAGGGTGCACGTGGCAAGGGAAGGCCTGTCAGCTGGTTGTAAACCACGAAGATGGTTTCGCGTTGTACGCGGCTGGGGCTAGAGGCGGTGGCAACGGGATGAGTCCAAGCTCTTCCCCGACCCCTCTTTGGAGAAGATCCTTCGATAAACTGAAAATGTCCGCTGACGATGGGGCGCGTCTACTGTGGCTCGACTTTGGCGGCGAGGATGGCGAGATTGTGAGTTATATCCACGAATATTTTCTTTTATATATTCGAATAAATATATACATACATGCATACATAAATGAATCCTTCGTTCGAAACGAAGACTCTTTCCTTTTACGATCGTAGGAGAAACGCGCGATGAGTTGAGAATTTGATTGATTAAGAAAGATCTCGTTTCTTACAGGCCTATCTTGATTATTAAAACACATTTGCTAATCAATTTCGTCAATTTTTCGAAAGCAATACATAATAATAAAACGTAGAATCCAATTTCAACCGTCCTAAACCTGATTTTGTGTCCAACAAATTCTTTAATTATCTTACAAATTATCTTAAAAAACTTGTAAAACTTATTTTTAATATAATTGAGAAAAAAGGAGGGAAGGAGGGAAGAAGTCAGTTCTTTTTAGAATCACGAAATTTTAATCGAGAAAATGTAAAAACGAAACTCATCGCGTTCTTCCCCTCTTGATACAAATCCACGGCCACCCTTCAAAAGGGGTTCGTTCTCCCTTAAAGCTCTCCTTCCTAACGGGATCCACATTTTCTCGCCATTTTCTCACCGTATGACGAATGGAAGAAAATTAGCAAAAAAATATCGAGCTGGGGCTGACGTGTTCGATAATAACGCGACGCGAGAGAGGACTTATTGTGAGAGAAGCCTTCCTCCTCTTTCTTCCCGGCGGCGGGGAGGGTATTGAGAATTTTAATTGACCTAGACTATCGAGATTATTATCTCGGACGAGAGGAGAGAGATATCGTGAAGAGAGAGAGAGAAAGAGAGGGAAAAAAGAGGGCTGTGCATCGAGTAATCCCATTGTGCTCGTCACTTTGAAAGAGCCCTCGATGCCGGAGCACGATACCGTCGAATACGTATTTTACATCTTCTCCAAACACCTTCGTCCGGTTCGCTCCCGCCGTTCAATGGCCATTCATAACGCTACCGCCTATCTTTCTGCAAAGCGGGGGAGGAAGAGGAGGGGTTGGAAGTCAGAAGAAAGAGAGAGAGAGAGAGAGAATTTTCCGCGACAGACGTCACGATGGAAAAATTATTCCACCCTCGAGAGAGCCTTGAAACGAAGCTGGTGGTGAATATCCTCCGGGATCCGTTCTTTCTTGGAATTTTTTTATTAAACGATCGACCGCGTGCAAGAAACAATGATCCCGCCGATTGGCTCCGCTCTCTTAATTTGAATTGGTATAAATAACGAGAAATTTTTCACTGTGCCACAGGTAAATTGCCAGATTTCCAAAATTTATTTATCGCACGATTCAACTCGATTCTATCGTTAAAACGTTTATTAAAATTGGAACTGCGAAGATAATGATTTTTCGATCAGATCGATCAGAAATAAAAAATCTCTTTTCGAAATTGGATCGTAGTCTAAATAAAGGAGTAATTTTTTTAATTTGCTATCTTTCTCTCATGTCGAACTTCATAACTCGTGGGATAATCTACTTCCAGAAAAAATATACCTCAAAGAATCGCGACCTATTTATAATCCCTACACTATCTTAAAATGTTTATTAAAATTGGAACTGCGAAGATTTTTCGATCAGATCAATCAGAAATCTCCTCTCGAGATTGGATCGTAGTCTAAATAAAGGAGTAATTTTTTTAATCATTTGCTATTTTTCTCTCACTATGTTGAACTTCATGATTCCTGGAATAACCTATTTCCAGAAAAAAATATAGCTCAAAGAATCGCGACCTATTTATAATCCCTACACTATTTTAAAACGTTTATTAAAATTGGAACTGTGAAGATAACGATTTTTGATCGATCGATCAGAAACGAGGAATCTCTTCTCGAGATTGGATCGTAGTCTAAATAAGGAGTAATTTTTTTAATCATTTGCTATTTTTCTCTCATGTCGAACTTCATATCTCCTGGGATAATCTACTTCCAGAAAAGAATATACTTCAAAGAATCGCGATCTATTTATAATCCCTACACTACCTTAATATGTTTATTAAAATTGGAACTACGAAGATAATGATTTTCGATCAGAAACGAGGAAATCTCTTCTTGAGATTGGATCGTAGTCTAAATAAAGGAATAATTTTTTTAATCATTTGCTATTTTTCTCTCATATCGAACTTCATAACTCCTGGGATAATCTACTTCCAAAAAAAAATATAGCTCAAACAATCGCGATCTATTTATAATCCCTACTCTACCTTAAGCATTTTCGATTCCTCATATCTCAATCGATCGAATAGTTTCTCTTTATTTCGAATTTGAAAGGATTCGATTCATTTTTACGAATCATTTTTACCAAATCATTATCGAATCACGACCACCAATCTATCTAACCATCTTTCTCCCCAATCAAAATTCCAGGAGCTGGACCTCGAGAGCTGTCCCAAACCGATCGTGTTCGTCCTCCACAACTTCCTCTCGGCCAAGATCCACCGGCTCGGGCTGAGCGCATAGGGGTACGAGGGGGCCCCCACGGAGGCCCCCGACCTGCCGCCCCACACCACCAGGTCCGTCACCAGCGTCTTCCTTCACTGAAGCTCTGCGCGCCAGACACAACGAGGAGGAAGAGAGAAGGGTGGCAGGCAGGATACGAGAGAAGAACGAAGAACGAGAGACCCACGCATCACTCGACGGACCATAACAGAGAGACACGTTGGCCGGCTTCCACCTTTTTATTTCCATCCGGAGATCGCCACGATTCCCTGATTCCTATTAGGGGATTAAAACTGCAGATTAGCAACAAGCGCGCTCTTCCACATTCGATTCTACGAGCGAGATGCGTTTAATAAGGACGAATCTCTCCTCGATGGAAAAGACGGGAAGAGAAGAGTGTACGAAACAAACGGATGGCGATCGAAGAAAAAGAGAGAGAGAGAGAGAGATAGAGAAAACGAATCGAAGTTATTCTAACGCGCAATTTTGCAGGAAAGTATCAGCACGTGCAACAAGTAGGCTAGAAGGAAGCGGAAGGAAGGTCACTGCTGGGTATCGTAACTAATCAACGCGCCTAAGTAACCGATTAAACTTATCTACCTAAAGTAAGAGGAAGAAAAAAAAAACGCTATGTAACGAACGAGAGAGAAAGAGAGAGAGAGAGAGAGAAAGAGAGAGAGTGAATGGTGGGTGTATTTAAGAGAAAGTGAAAAAACTGCTCCGATCGAACGCTCGATTTCGGAGAACTAGCGGAAAAGCTGATCAATTACTGTCCAACTGCCAACCCGTTTCGCTCTTACATCGAGGATCGATTGACCCTGCAACTTCGACCTCTCTCCCCTTGTCCCTTGCCGCTGCACGCCAACTTTCCTCCTCTCGGGTATAAATAAAAGGGAGAAGAAAATAGAAGGCGAGGAGGAAGGTTGGGAGAAAGAATATACGTTAAAGTTGTCGCATCGAGGCTCTGCAGCAAACCTTTCCCCTATAACGTCCAACGAAAGCGACTTTAACAGAGTTGAACGTTGATCTTAATGATTAGTGAATTAATAATAAACGAAATTTCACGCGAAACCATTTTCGTTCCATATTTATGGAATATATATTTATGATATATATATGGATTTTCTTACTCGAGTGAATTATTTATTTCACTCGTCAACGGGTTTCTCTTCAACGATCCATTCCGAGAGAAATTCGAAAATCTCACGATTTTCAAAAATAAATTTCGAGTTACGAAAGAATGGAATGATAATAGTGGAAATTTCGTCGGGGCGGAGAGGTTGGATGTGGAATAACAGGGTCGAAGGGAGCAACGGGCTAGCGTTAATAGTTGTTTTGTACGATTCGTATTCTTAAACGCGAGTAAGTGTAAGATGCCAAGAAACGTCGATGTGTGTACCGGTTGGCCGCGATCCCAATCGAGTGGGATAACTCGAGATCGATTCTCGTTTCCACGCCTCCCCTTCCAAAAATTATTTCCATCTTCTTTCGTAAAACTCGACCCCCTCCCGACATCCGAAGTTTCACATCCGAGCAAAACTCTCGAATTGTAAATATAAGCCATCGTTGCAACTCACCCAACCCGCCCAATTCCGATAATATCGTTCCACGTGCCGTGGGTGTCGCAAAATCGAGTAACAAGCCGGAAAACACTGTGGAGGAACGAAGGTGAGGTCGATTCGAGGATCGAATTCCCATCCTGTATCGAGTTATCGCACGGAAGGGGATGCAAATCGCCGCGGAATTATTCGCATTACGAGTGCTGTTGCGAATATTATCGATGACGAGAGAGAGAGAGAAAGAGAGAGAGATAAGTGTTGTTCGTGTAAGAATGGAACATTCCTTTTCATCCGTTCTATAGAGACCGATATTCGATCACGATCCTCGAGAAAAGAGGAGAGGAGAGGAAGGAGAGGAGAGGAGAGGAGAAAGATTGGTCGAAGGAGGCCGTGCGATAATAAGAATTTTGACGTTAAATAGAACGTATCAACGAATCCACGTAACGTTCATTGTACCCGTTTTACGTCGTTTGCTGAGTTGTCGTTCCTTTCGCGGAATGATGAAATTATATTGAAATGAAAGAGGAGAAGATCGATTTCGCAATCTGTTCTCGCGTGTGTATCAACGTTAGATTGGGACGATGATAGAAAATTCGTAACGTTGAATAGTTAGAACGTCTTCGATTTTAAGAGATCGAAGGATTGTTTAACGTTGAATAGTAATTCTGATCGAATCGATTTTGAATTGTAGATTCGCGGTAGATGCGATATCCGATGCGATTAATTTCGATGTGACCGCTCTATTAAGTTCTGTTTTAACGTGGATCGTTGTATAGATAGGAACGAGCGTGTGTATTATCCTTTCAACGACGCGTCATCTCGAGATATATTTTAAAAATAATATTTTTCGCGCGATTTTAAATTAATATTTATTTAAAATTTTACCACCGATTTTAATTATTTATTTATATATAAACGAATTTGCATGATTCGTAATCAAGATCATAGCCATCGGAAAACGTCTAAGCGACGAAGCCAGAATCCGGAAAATACGCTCGAATCAACGCCTATTACCGTTAAAAGCCGGTCAAAACTTGACGTAAAATCATCGATCACGGGAAATCGACTTAATAAATATCGCTTGTCAAAGGGTATTTCGAACGCATCCATCGTTTAACGCGTTAAAACGATGGGAAAAAAGCCGTGTATCCGAAAGTGGCTCGAATGAGCCGCATTATCCGCCAATTGCAGCGCGATCAAAAACAATCCGACCCAGTTTTTACCACAAATTTCGCGCCCATTATCAAAATTGCCCGGACGCCATCCCAGAGAACTCAATTTCACGGAACGAATGTGTCGTTCGTGGATGATTGGAGGGTGGTGGTGGCGCGAGCGGGGTTGACTGGATGACACGAAAATGGAATGGAGAGATCACGGTGGTCGGTTCCGTCGCGACGAAATGAAATTATACACGGATCGAAATAATGAACGATGCTCGAATTTTCCACGTTTATTCCGGCTCGAAATTCGTGTGAAACGCGATACGGGAGAATTCACCTGTCCTGTCGTATCGAAAAACCGAGGACCCTATTTCCAAATGGAAATTACCGAAAGTAGAAAAACCTGTAAATGAGCGAACACGTCGAGCGAATTAATCGAACGATTTCATCGTCACAGCGAATCCCGCGAAAGGAACGCGAGAGCGTTACAATACACACGCGTGCGAAAACACACACGTACACATACGGAGATATAGAGGGGATAGGGAAGGGGAGGGGAGGGGGGATAGAAGGTACATTCGCCTGGGTAACGAGGTGGACGTCATTAAGCGCGAGGATAAGTTCGAAACATCGACGAGAATTAATTCAGTTTGAAAGGATTTGCACGTAAACTGTGTATTTTTCTAATGATTTTAGAACGCGGCCGGTCACGGCTCGTTCATTCGTTTTTTAATCTTTTCTTTTTTTTTTTCTCTCTATTTTCGATTTTCACCCCTCTGAAAGATCGAATCGGGGGTGAAACGGGACACACGGTCCTCCTGCGTTTTCATTTCTCTATAGGTTTAAGAGAACGTTAACGTGTATATCTATGAGTTACCAAATAAATGAGACCGGTTAGAAAACTGATCGTTTTTCTTTTCCCACCTCTCTTCGTTCTTGATTTTAATTTCAGAGATTGGGATTCTGAGAAATGATTTCGAGGTAAGTATGTAATTTTTTTTCGACGATAACGAAAAAAAATAATGAATAACGATAAAAAATAATGAACGTAATATAGAATTCGGAAAACGTTCGAAATATTGGAAAATATTGAAAATTAAAATATCGAAATAATTTTTCTACTTCTTCTCTGTAAAAGATATCTAACTTTTTTTGCCTCTTTCGAATGAAGCGAGTGTACACTTTCAAAGCATTTCTTTCCCAAGTGTCCATCGATCTAGAAAGGTCGACGACGTATTCGAAAGGAATCGCGACTATGCGCGACAGGGAGAAGGGAGAGGAGAAGAAGAAGAAACTTTCAGGACTTTGTCATTTTTATCGTTGAATCCGATATCCAGCCCCGGTGATTGGCTCGCGAAACTTTTCTGATCTGTCTTCCGTCTGCCTGCAGCGATTCCTTATATTCTTTCACCTCCACCAATGTAGAGATTCCTTCGTAGAGGTTATGTCGCACGTAAATTTCGCCAACATCTTGAAACACTCATTATATCGAATATTTTTGACTAACATTATCGAACAATACGATAGAAATATCTTTTTCGAATCGTATACGAATAATCTCGCGTAAAATAACGAAATGAGAAACATTTTCGATGAAAGGTGATAAATTAAATCGTGAATAACGAATGGTAAGATAAATTGCAAATAGTAAATTAAATACGACATATAGAAACGAAAAATATTTCATGCATAAAATAAAAATACAATTAACATTTATTTAGAGTACTTACAGAGTCGATAATGCCACGATGACGCTACGATGATGCCGCCATGATGCCGCCATGATACCAGCTCTCAAAATGGATGCACTTATCGCGAAATATATTATACGCATTATACTACGCATAAAGATACGTTAAAACATTTATTTCAATTACTAAATATCGCTTTTAACGGGAAAAAAAACACGTATATACATAAAACGATCGCAAAATTCACGAACTCTAACAGTCAAGATGGACACGATTATTACGAAACACGTGCTATACTAAGCATAAAAAATCATCAAGAAGCTTCTAGTAATTATTAAAAATCGATTTTAACGAAAAAAAACACGTGTATATATGAAAAGATTGCAAAATTCACAAATTCAAAAAATCAAGATGGATACGATCACCGCGAAACAGTATACTGCGCAATAAAAATACGTTGAGAAGCTTCTATTACTAAAAATCAATTACTAAAAATCGATTTTAACGAAAAAAAACACGCGTATTTGTAAAACAAACGCAAAATTCACGAAAACTAGTATTCAAATGTATTGCACAACATTATATTACGCAAAAAAAAGACGTTAAAACGTTTATTTTAATTATTACGCATAATTTAACGAAGAAAGACGCGCACACAAGAAATGGCCGAAATCTACTGAAAGGCAAACGAAGGAATCGCGTGATTTCCCCCACCGCGTTGCCTTCGTTGTCGAACGTTCCGCCGAAAATGTAAACATACAGCGCGGCATTCAATTTCAAAACATTTGTGATATTAATGATTTGCGAATATTTTCATATAAAATTTTGCAAATTTATTCTCTAATATATTTTGTGCAAATTACTCTCAGACAATCACATTCAGGACAATGTTCATCAATGAAAAATTTATTTTCGAGAATTTTTTTTTTTATTTTTTCATTTTCAATATACGTATAAATTTTTTAATGTGTATTTAAAAAAAATAAAAAAATAAAAATAAAGGAACAACCTAAGAAAACTAGTACGATTGAAATTATATTTAAAATTATATTGAAAATCAAGAAAATAATTTCGAAAGACAAGATTAGAAAAGATCTCGAGAGATTCTAATTATGGAAAATAATACAAATAAAATTTGATTGATTGAAATTGTTAATAGAATCGATACACGAGATTCAAAAGTATAATTGATATATTAGCAAATATTAACCTTCTCGAACAACACGAAGCTTTAATTAAAACTACAACCATACCTATTTAAACATTCATGATTGGAATTCGATGTTTAATACCAATTATTCTATTTCCATTGAAAATTCTATTTTCAAATGCTGTTCTCATTTTGCATGAATATTATTATTTTCGCATTTTTATAATAAGCAATATACATCTGTGAAATATATTGATATTTCAAATTACAAAAAATAAAAGAATATTATACGTATATTAAAATCGAAATAATGCCAAAGAAACGGAATCACGATAAAATTCTAAATTCTCAATTTAATTCAATATAATTTTCATAACGAATCGTCGAAATTACATCGATCATTGGCAACTCTCTCTTAATTCTTGATCAACGAAACGAATTCCTCCAAAATATCGAGAATGACACGATAAGTCGTAGCCGAAGCCAGGCTTATTTACAACGTGTCCGGCCGCGATAAAGTAAACCCTTTCGTTCCTACTTGTACCGGCTACCCTCTATCTAGCCACGCCTAGAGCACGCCGCTCTAAGATTATAAAAGCAGACTAACAGAGTATAATTCACCATTGTTATCCCGCATCGTGGAGACCCGTAATGATACGTTTATTCCATAGAATTTTATCTCGTCTCCACCCCCGTCTCGGTTCCCGCAATTGTAGGGTACCACCCCTTTTTCGCGAGCATAAGGAGATAATAAATCGTATAACCGAGTAAAAAGGAGGACAGGTGGCTACAGGTGGGATAAAAGATACACAATTTCGGTTGATTAAATTTAACGCTAGAAATTAAAAATCCAAAATCCCGTGGCTGTGTGTAAATTTTACGCTTCGATATGGTCTCGATACGGTTCAGAATGGTTCTAATTAATTTATCGTCGCGTTTCTAGACAAATCTTCCTTCGCTAAGGATAATTGCAACACGAGAATGATGAAATTTCAGCCTTGTGAACGAACGATATTCGGGGATTATTAATTTCGCAATGGAGGCAAATAAAACGGCCTCTTTGTAAAAATCATAATTCAATATTTACGAGGATCGATATATTGTAATGATATATCGAAATTTATACCGTTGTTATACGAAAATTTTGTTGAATGAAATTTTTTTCTGCAAAAATATTATTTTAATTAAAAGTAATAGGAGAATAATAGGTAGTAAAGTATTGGAATAAAAATAAAATTTCGAAATTCACGAAAATGATGGGAAAGGATATCACGGATAATGTGATCTCAGGTGTTCGAAGAAGAACACGTTCGGGTATATGAATAATAAAAACGATAATGGTTCGAACGAGAAACTTCTAATTCGGTGATAATGGATTTTCGATCAGGATCCCGTAATTTCTCGATTCGAGCGAATTTATCTCGATAATTCGAGCGGTAAATATTTCATCCCGAATAAGTTGTCCATCGATTATTGATTAATACCAATTCATTTATGCAACTTCGATAGAATTATCGTTACAGAAATAATTGAACTCGTCTCGCTCGAGTTCGTCGAACTTAATCCATTGAGTTCCAAAAAATTCTTCGAGAACAATCGTCAAATCCATCGAAATTACATCGAAATAACATCTCCATCGGAGACTAGGGCCTTAACCTTCCTATCTCTATCTATCTCCACCCATTTCGTTCCATAAAATTAAATTAACCATAATAATTCGTCGATCCATCGTTGCCATCACCGCCATTCTCGAATCACAATCGATCCTCGGGATTCGGCCGAGGACAAAAAATACCACCGATAATAATCCTTCTCTCTCCATCCTCGTCGAAAACTTTTTCCGCTCGGAGATTCGCGATGTCGAGAAGGCTCGGGCTTCACGACTTTTCGATCAATTCTCGCCTACGTTCACGCGCATCCCCTATCAAGAGGGAGGGGGAAAAACGCGGGGGGGAGGGATCGCGCAAGTTTTACGCGGGAGATTTTTCCCGAGGAAAGGCGATCGAGCGTGGCTGAGCAGGGCTTTACCTTGACTGGCTGGGCGATAATTCCACGCTTTTTTGCCATCCGCCGCAGTGACGCGAAATGTGCATCCCATCCGCAAGAAACGTTCGATCGAAATGCAAATTTCGGTCAGGGGCTATCTCACGATACGCCACGCGTAATTTTGATCTCACGAAATTCCTCTTTATCGAGAATTGATCTACGATCGCGCCTCGGAACGTCGAGCCGGATACGTGGATTCACGAGCAACCGATAAGGCAACTTGTTACCGCGCGTGTAAACGAACGAAATCGTTGATGGTTGGTGAATGGAGGAAGAGAAAAATGGGATTTGGATTCTTTTTTTTTTTTTTTTTTTCGAGGATTATTCGAAGGAAATATTCGATTCGACGGAATTGTGATCGGGAAATTGTGGAAAATTAATGGATGGTTGTCGTGAGGAGTCGAGAGGAACGAAGAGCGAGCAATTTTCGTTAGGGGTCCACTTTGATTTCCCCAAAGTAACCAAGGATCTTGTTATTTAATCGGTACGACGACGCGACATGCAACGTTTCATGCACGAATCCGATAAATTCTTTTTTTTTTTTTTTGTTTTTTACGCGAAAATAAATCTTCCTCTCTCGTGTTTTAAGTAAAACTTACGACACTTCTTTTCCTTTTTTTCGTTTTTCGTCGAAAATCGTGTTATTCGATCCATCGACAAATTTCTCAATCCATCATTCAACAATTTGTATTATATCCATATATAAGATGTAAGATCAAGATATGTTTGCACTCCTCCTCCCAAAAAAAAGAGTTATTCGTTTCTCTTTCCTTAAAAAAAAAAAAATAAAAAAACCATTTTTCAACAAGGTTCAAATACTAACAAATTTCCCCTCTTACAGCATAAAAAAAAAAAAATCAAGAAGCTATATCGCGAAGCCATAGAAAAACAACGCGAGCCAATAATCGAAATGGTCCAGAGGAAGCTGGTGGCGGAATTTTTATTTTTTTTCTTTTTTTCTTTTTTCGAGAGGGAGAAATGATAGGGTGGCCGATTGAAATGCAAATCGGGCCGAGGTTATTTCGGTGTACACGTAGCCCCGTTACAACGGCCCAAATTCGATCGTTTCCTTCTCCCATGGGTTTTTCCGTGTCGCAAACAACTCGTTGTCGGTCGAGAGAAAAAAAGGAGAGGAGGGAGGAGGAAAAAAAAAATCTCGAAACCGATTGTTCGATAGAGGCCTCTTCCATTCCTGTCGAAAGGCCTCTAATTTCATTGGTCCGTATGTATACTGATGCCGTATTTCCGGTGAATTTTCTCCACGATTTTATCGGCCGAAACGCAAAACGTCCTCGAACGAAAAAAAAAGAAGAATTCTTTGACCGAGATCAGAATTGAAAAATAAGAAGAAAGGGTAATAAGATGGGGCTTTAAACAATTTCGATACGCATTGACGATTTTAAATTGTTGGTTGCCTCCGTTTCGAAAGGTATTTTCTTCTTCACCGGGAAATATCTGCGAAGATTCGCGTGCATGGAATTTTAATAGCCCGATGTTTGGAATTTTAATATTTCTTCCGGGCTTCGAGCGGAAATCCTGACCGTTTTATGGATTAATAAACGCCCTTATTTCGCATTCGTGTTATAAATACAGTAATCGATTTACACCGCAAAAGAATATTACGGTTCGTTAGATTTTTAATTACGAGGATTTTTAATTCACAATGAACAGTGTACGAACGCGAAATTTTACGGGGATATCAGTTTTTTCATCAGATCGAGCAAGATTCTTCGTTTCGCGGCGCGACAGACCGCGTCCCGGAGGTGGAGGTGTCTCGAATCCGTTCGCGGTTATCGACGTGGCAAGGAAAAAATTTCGCAAAGTTTAATATCCGCGATATTGTGTCTCGTGAAATCAAAATCCTTTCTCGTTGTTCCTCCCCGATCGACCGATTCCTCCTTCGACTATACTATAGAGAGGGCGGGGATTCAAAATGTGTGTTTCTGTTTTCGAAAAAAATAACTCGGGGAATTTATAAGCTCTGAGAATCGAAAATTCGTGGGAATAAAAACATAACATCCAGGAACCTCTGGAAATTATTTTTCGAGAATTCGAGAAATTTTCATTTTCATTCTCGCTGCACCATTAATAAATTTTATTCCTCCCCTTCAAAAATTTCTCTCGGTCAGATTTTTTTTCACGCCCGAATTAATATTTCGCCGGATATATTCACCGCGATGGCGGCCGACTTCTATGTATAATTCAACGTCAACGAAAATACTGGCCCCGGATTTATTCCCAACAGTGTGCGAATACTCTCTCTAAATTCCATTAACCTACGAACCGAAAGTGTTACGTTATCGCCCCGGCGTACAGATTTGTATATTTCACGAGATGGCGCAGCATCCACAAAGGCCAAGTCCACCATCCAAACCCCTCCAGAATTCATCATTTGACGGGGGCCTATTTTGTTCATTATCCGACACCTACTTCCGTTCCGGAGAAATCATTCATTTTCCATTCCAACCACCGACCTGCATTATATCACGCGTGATTATATAATGTCGAGTTAATATTTCATCGCCTCTTCGTGCCAATCCCGAGTTAAGGGATGATCTATGATTTGTAATATTTGAAAAAAAAAATCATTCTTTCCTCGTAATAAATTTTTACAGATTAATTTTATAATGCGGTATTATTTTATTACTCGTCGGGGAGATTTTGCCTATTTTGTCTACTTATAATCTCGTTTCACGCAGAAAATATCCTCGATCTGTTCATAATCGAGAGTATTCGTCTGTAAAAGATGAATTAAAATTGTATCCTTATTACATGACATCATATTACGCTGAAATATAGATTAAATAAAATAAAAAAAAATCTTTCGTTCAATTCGTAAAACACCGATTAATTGGAGATCCCCGAGATAATTTCAAATAAAAATTTTCGTTATGGAAAAATATCGGTCAATCGTGGTGGCCATGAATTGACCAAGCCGTGACGGTAGTGTTGAGTATGTACCGTCCACGAAACACGAACAAATTCAACTAATTAATTGTTCGTACAAGTCGTTCGTTTCGATTTCTCTCCTCTCCTCCTTCTTTCTCTTCCCTTCTCCAAACATACGAATAAATTCGATTTATTCTATATTTTCCTTATGATGAATATATATATATCGCGAAGAATTAAAATCTACGAATCTTTTTCCACGATTTTTCACCAAATTATCGTCTCAAAAATTATTATTCACGAAAACTATATATTTTTTTTATTCGAAAGGACACAAACGGATCGATCCATCGATCGTTCCAATTTTCCGCGATTCGAAAGACGCTGACAAAGGCGTGGAGGCAAATGTTGGAGGAATTGTTGAGAGGAGCTCGAAACAGAGGAAATTTTGAACGATTCCGCGTGCTCGAATCGTTTCTGGAACGCGGCTGACACCGAGGAATTCTTATTCGCCGATTCCTTTTGCAGCGAGCATTCTTCCACGACATCACCCGCGCCGGAAACGAGACGCGCCCGCCCGTTTCCTGCCGCGAGCGTCGCGTTAAATGTCGGACCACCGCTCCATACGAGGAGAAAATTAAATATGAGGAGGGAGGGAGGGGAGTAACTGGTGTGATTCGTGTGCAAGTTTCTCGGAATTGCCGAGTTTCTCGAGATGGAAAGTGAGAGGGTACAGCTACCCCTGTAATAGGATAATAGGTGTTCGCGATAAGATTCGCATTGTGATCTTTGTTAACTATGCTCGAATTCAGAACTGCGGAACTGCGGTTCCAATAAGGGATTCAATTTATTCGATATCGAGTAATTATCGGAACATTCTATTTACGATTCCTTTAAACTCTCTCGTTAATTTAATTCGAGTCGAATATTGAAACTTTGTCGTTCCAGATAAATCGTCGATTTAATATAAATATATACCGTATTTTAAACCTCAAGAGAAGAAAATTAATTCTTCATTTATCCGAGTTCAACAAATATATCTCAAAAATTTAAGTTAACAAAAGTAATATCCTCTGTGCCATCGTTCGAGTGTTAATCTCGACACACTTTTGCGCCCAAATAATTTCTTCACTTCGTTACAAAATTATCCTCGAACACGATAATATTATATGATAATTAAGAACTGAAATACGTACGCAATTAATAATTTCACGTTATTTTATGGGCGCAAATTTCAAGTATCTAAACACTTTCCTTTCACGGTATTATTAGCCGAGTGATTAACCGAATTCCGATGTCCACAACCGATGCGGATCAAATCTGGCCTGGTGGGAGCGAGTCGATCGAGTTACATAAATTTTCGTGTACTCCCAGCTCGGAGCAATGTTAATTAAAAGCTAATTAACACCGCTCGTTAATACGAATCGTGCGATCCCACTGGAAGCTGTTTGTTATTAAAGCCTCCTAACGCGAGACGAGGCCTTTTACACGAATCACGAGCAACAACACGTGCGCTCTGCTCACGTGTACGCCACGGATAAAATTGTGATAAAATTGCTCGTCTCGCTCCCTCTTTGACACGGGAATTGCAGCGATCAAGAGGGATTCGAGATCGAGATAAGGATTGATAAGGGGTTGGTGGGGAAACGAGTGTGGAGGGGGATCGAGCTTCGTGCGGGTGAAAGAATGAAGAGGCCGAGAACGATGGGAATTATGAATGGATGAAAATAAAAATATGAGTGGCGAAGCTCGTGAAAGGAAAACTGTGACGTAAGAACGGTAAGAAAGAGAAACTACGATCGGGATAAATGATAGAATCTGATATTTTGAGCATGAAACCGAGATGAGACGCATCGTTGAAGAATAAATTTTCGTTCAGAAACAATTTGATATTATAGTTAATTATTATTAATTAAGAAATATATATAGTGGAAATAGAAAAAGAGAAGAAACGTAAAAATGGCAACGCGTGCGAAAGAAAAATTTGACGTCCATAAATTATGGAAATATATAAGGATAACGAAAGGGAAATTTTTTAGAAGAAAAAAAAAAAGAAACATAGAAACGATAATTAACTATATTGAAGACGTAAAACTGTTTCTCGTAGAAAATTTTAGGGACGCGGAAAATTGAATGTACTCTTGCAGTAGATCGAAGAAGATTACGGAATTTTTCGAAGGAATTTGGCGAAGGAACGAATAAGAAGATATTCGTATCGTTGTTATTTTCAAAGACGCTTATATTTTATTCAAAAATATCTCGACGTACTTACAGCTTACCCATACACATGCATCAGGCTCCGGTATCTGTATACTACGTACCATTCGGCATACATACTCGTATGTACATATTCTCGAGACGCTGAACTCGGCAGAGTTTCACTCCACCGCCTGTTCCTCCTCTCAATGGACGCTTATCGTTTCTAACTGAACGAGTTTCGTATTATATCTACAAAGCGCACTCACTCTCTCACTCTCTCTCTCTCTCTCTCTCTCTCTCTCTCTCTCTCTCTCTCTCTTTCTCTCCTGTCTACCTTTCCCGATTCAATGTTAGAAATTGTTTGCCTATTATGATTATCGCGATAATGAGATAGAGTAACTTGTTCGATTAGACCTATTCTTTAGAGATATCGTCGAGCATATTGTCTTAATCGAAGTCGATCTCTTTAATCGTATAATACAAACACACCGTGGAACGACCAAATCTCGCCCCTATCTTTCCTCTAGATCTATCCAAGTCGTATTTTATTATATAATTAAGAAAAAGAAAAGAACCTTGAGAAAGAAAATTTGGACGTTCCACGGCAGACACTTGTCCTCTAGAAATTGGCACTAAGAATTCAAAGACAGACGGAAGGAATACTGTTGGCAAATATCCTCTAACCACTTATTAACCGCTTGCATGCATCGATCCTTTTCGATCTTCTTTTTTACCTTACGCCCTCCTCTTAGATTCCTCTCGTACACGCGCCGTGTCTATCAATCATCGTTTCGTTAAAACTTCGAGAATTTCGAGGGAAAAAATCGTTCGAACGCATCACTAACTAAATTTCATCTTCAAATTTCTCTCTTTCTTTCGTCATTCGAGGTCCATCACGGTTCAGATCGTGTTCATCGTCCTTATCTTTACACGATCGAGCATCGAAACGGGGCATTGCATTAACGCGTTAAAGCCTAGTTTTATGGGTGGATCGCGAGACTCGGCGGCGTTTAACGGGCTAACAGGCTCACTAATTCGAAAACGCGGAGGAGGCGGACTTATCTTGCATGGAAGACGAACGCCGCTCCTCGAGGAAGGGGAGGGGGCAAGGGTGTATGACTGCCACCCACGCGGAAGAAGCGGAGGAAGACGAGACTCTCGAGCGAACGATAAACACCGCGTGAAACTCGCGACGTAATTAATTAAAGGACAAAGTTCATTGTCCTTGCAGCGATTCTAAATTCTAATCTCTACTGCATCGAACTGCAACCGATCGTAAACACAACTCTTACACAACTGGATTATACGATATTATTTTCCGCTTTGTTTTTCCTCCTCCTCCTCCTCCTCCTCCTTCTCCTCTTTCTCCTCCTCTTCCAATCTTTTCATTCGATATCAATTAAATTGCAATTTTCATCCATGGTGGAGAGATTTTTTTTTGTCATTTTTTTCTTTTTCTTTTATCACTTCTTCTTCTTCCTCGCGATGAAAAAGAAGGTGGAATTCGTGGAACGACGAAAAACGGGAAAAATTATCGATCTCTTCGAGAAAGGGGATGAGAAAGGAAAAAAAAAAAAAAGGAAAAAAAAAAGAGCAGAGGGTGATTGTGACAAGTTAATTGGAAGTCGAAGAGCGTAGGAATGAAATTGTATCCGGAAGTTCATCGAGTAATAACGTTTACAGTGGGTGTGGATACACGTTTGTTTTCCATCTGCCAGTTATTTTTATCTCGAAGTGGAAAAGTTGGGGAGGGGGAGGGGAGGGAGGAGAGAGAAAAGACCTCAAAAGGAGCCGAGGGAAAAGGATGTATCAGGGAAGATAGAATGTCAGCATAATTGCGGATTACCCGTTGGTAGGAATATAACAAAGGCGAAAGGATGGAATCGCGGGTGGAAACGGAGATTCCACTCGAATCTTTCTTTTAAATTAAAAACGGGTGCCCATGCATCGTTACATCCTGTAATTTTCTATCTTCATTTCCGTGAAATCCTCTGTCCATTTTCTAATCCCAACGAAACAAAACTTTCTCTCTCTCTCTCTCTCTATTTTATAAATATCTTGTCCGAATATAAATAAAAATTTCAATTTCCACCAATCTTCTGCGAAACCGACCATCTCCTCTTGATTGAGAACAAATTTAACGAAGTCGAGTGTTGCTCGCGTTCGTAAAAAAAAAAAAATAACGATTTAAACACGGCGTCGTACGAATGATGAAAATAAGGGACGGAAATAAATAACGCGTTTCAGATGTTAATATTACACGGTTTCAGCTCCATGAACTGATAGGGCACGTGCAGCGTGGTGTTGTTGTGCTCCACCAGCAGGTGGCCTCGCCTGGGAGACGCCCCCACGACCAGAACCGTTTCACCCTTCAGCAGGACCACCTCCCCTTCACCCTCTTCTGAAAGAACAATAACTCTACCCGTATTTGGAAGACGAAATCAAATATGCGTAGTTGCAGGGGAATTTTCCCAGATATATTTTCCATGTATTAAATCAGAATTCGAATCTTTCACCAAATGATTAATAGCTAGAACTATGCTAACGTTAATAAACTATTTAAATAATATTAATTTTGCCGAAAGAACTTGTGCATTTTTAATAATTGCAGAAACAAAAAACTCTCGAAATGTCGCTTGCTTTTTATAATTCTAATATTAATCTCTTAAAGAATATCAATAGAACAGGAAAGATTCTGTAGCGAAGAGTTCTTCGGCAAATTTTAATTTTCTTTTCTTCTTTTTTTAAAATTTAATTTAAAAAGAAAAAACTAAACCTATAATATATATATATATTAGTACATACTCAAAAATATTTCCATTTCTTTAAATACTGCGATACCGATATCGGATATAAATATTTATAATGCAACATATAAGAACGATGCACCAATTTCCAAGTTTAATAAGATTTTTACAAAAGCGGCCATCCTCTTACCTGGAAATGGCATCTTCATGATCCTTGTCTGCGGATAGCCCAACTTCGTGTTTCCAGTCACGGTGTACGATCTGCTTGGAGGAAGCGGAGGCGGCCGTTCCTGGAACAAAATTACACGTACACTTTTCATTACGTTTCTCGCGTAATGACGTAACCTCGCGAAAACGCGTCGAGAAAGAGAAGGAGAAGCGTTCCCCCCTCCCTCCCCCCTCGCTCCACTTGCTTACCAAATCCAATCCGAACAGAGTGCACGTTTGCTGGATCATCTTCTGATCGGCGCATTTCTCCGATGGGTCGGGTGGTGGAGTGCCAGCGATCGGCTGAGGCCTCGGCCGTGTTCCGGTTCCGGTTCCGGTGGCCACCGTCACGTTCCTCTGCACGGTACCCGTGGTCGTCGAAGTAGGTGGTTGTTGAGATTTCTTCTGCCCGATACCGGACGTCACCCCTATCGTCGTCTTCCTGAGAGGCCATCTTCTTCGCACTCGCCATCCCCTCCACGTTGCCTGGAGATAATTTTTATTCCAACAATTCTTTCTTCCTTTTCTTGCAATTTGGACATATACATTTTTACACGAACGTGGTTTTCTATGCCTATGATCTCGATTTTGTTGTATAATATCGTAAGGATATACGAGTTATTCTCAATTCAGTTATTCTTTAAGGGACGATGGACGGTGAAGAATGAAAATTATTTTTGGAAGTTGGTAATTTTTTAAAACTTTAAAAGCGTTCGAATAGTAGAAAAAACGAAGTTATCTTTCTTGTAAGAAAGATTTTTCATACAATTAAGGAAATTATCCATTTACCTGTATCACGGTGGCGGCTTTCCTCCGCGTTTCGGAGCGCAGGTTCTCGAGCTGTTGCCTAATGCCCTCGCTAAGGAAGATGTGCCTCTTGCCGAGCGCCCAGCTGGTGCTCGCGCCGAATTTGCTCTTCAGCTGTTGCGCGTTCTGCAAGATGAGCTTGGTGTCCTCCACCGCTTGCTCCTCGGCGCGTCGCAATTGCTTGAACGGCGCGATCAGCCTGTACCTCGCGTTGAACGCCTTGAAGCGCATCCGATGGGGATATCCTGCAATTTATCCCATATCTCATTGACTTACCAACTGTCTCAAAAAGAATAGAACCTAAATAAAAATCTCGAAAGTGACTTCGAGATATACACGATACATTCGTGCATTTTCTCTTCGAGTTTCTCGACGAGACTTTTTTTTACCCCCTCCCCCTCGCAAGACAAATGGCCGACAAGAGCCCGCGCGTGGATAAGACGAGGAGATCCCGGCATCTAGCGGATATGTAATCTAGAGTATGTAAATCCCCTGTCCCGGATAGTTTCAAGACGTACCGCCGGCCATTAGGTTCACCGTCTCGAGAACCTGAAGGGATCGTATCTGACGCATGGTCACGCCTCTGTCCAAGTGAAGGGGCGTCTCTGTACCGTTGCTCCTGATGCACCTGACAAAGTGGGGCCTCGCGTGGACCAGGGTCCTCAGCAGATTGTCCAGCCTCGTGTGGAAGTCCTGCGTCAACGTCGAGATCGGCTCGTCCCCGTTCAACCTGGAAAAGAAATCGCCATGTCACTTCAAACGCGATATCCTCGCGGGGTAGACGTCCTCTTACAGGTCTGTGTGCGAGGTAGGCGATATCCTGAAGCTGACACCTCTTGGCACCGTGTCGCTCGCGTACAAGGCTTTCAACTCGCTGCCGAACAAATGGGTAGCGAAACCGAAGCTGCACGTGTGCTTGTAGAACACGGCCACCAGGTCATCCGGGACCACGTCCTTGTTGGTATCTTTTTGACAGAGAGAACAAAATTATCGTATCTTGTACATTCGGACAAATTGTTAAATGTTAAATATCTTTTGAATTTCTCACGTCCTTCCATAAACATCCGCGATCGAAATTTTCGATTCTAAGAGAGAGATGGTCTCTTTTTCATCCATCCATGAAAAAGTGTAGAATATTTTTTTTTTTTTTTTTTACCCAAGAAGTCGGAAGCGTCGTAGGTGACCCTGCCAGCGAAATGTTGAATCCCGAAAGACCTGCAATCGACGGTCCTTGGCTCGAACAATCGTGGATTCTGCTTGTGCTGAACCTTCACTTTCGCCACGTAGCTCTCAGCCGTGCCTCGTATCGAGCATTCCACGTCCAACATGCTCAACAATCCGGTCCTCTGCGAAACGGGTCGCGATACCAAATCACTCGATCTCTAATCGAAAGCGAAAAGGAGGTGGTAATGGTGGTAATCGCTTACCAGGGATGAGATGAGATCGATACAGGGCACGTTGTCGACGTAGTCGACCTCCACGTCGCACCGGATGCCCTCGTCCCGGCAACTCTCGATCGAACTCTTGAATATATGCGTGTTGTAGAAGTGTTGCATCGTCTCCGCGCAAAGGTTGATGCACAGATGCTCCAGCTGGCTCGGCTTCGGATCCTCGAAACCGAACATGTCCAGGATCCCGATGAACCCATCCGTCGCGTGTCGTACCGCGTTGTTCAACGCGGTCATGCTTCTGGAACCGGTACCACCTGCGCGTGACACGAGAAAATCGACACTGATATCGAGACAGAACAAATTTCCAAGACCAATAACCGATTAATACATTTATTCTTTAACTTCAACCTCATCGATATATATATATATATATATTAGTTCCTATTTTTTCTTTTCAATATATTCATCGTGCGACAAATTCAAAAATCGACGAGACTCGTCCACTTTATACGGATTTTTCGATTTTCGTAGAAAAACAATGGTGGAACATTTTGAGAAATTACGAAACGAAATCCTCTTATACGTTTTCTCACTTTTCGCGAGGATAGCGAGTTATCTATTCTCTTGGCAATTATATTTATATTATATTATTATTATAATTATATAATATAATATTATAATTATAATTATTAAAATTATATTATTATTATTCGAGTCCTCCTACCCGCAGAGCTGCCAATAGTGGACGCGTGTTGGCTGGTCACCTCGGCCTGGTTATGAACAGACTCGTTGGAGTCGGACGACAAGGTGCCAAGGGTAGAGCCTAATCTCTTCAAGCTGTTGGCCCTCCTCACGATCGTGGCCACGGTACGGCAGTAGAGAGCTTTGGCCAGCGAATCCCTGGTCATGTTAGACTGCGCAAACGAACAACCATTCGTCGTGATTCCGTTCAAACTGATCGCACGAAGGAATGAGTTAATCATGTACCATGTTCGCGTCGCAGACCGACTTCACCAATTGGCCGCGAGCATTGTGAGTCCTCGAGGTGAGCCCTCTGAGCAACGCTGGGGGTGGCACGCCCAGGAGGGCCGCGACCGACGCCAACTCGTTCTCACCGATCACCCCCACCTCCACGCCAGGGCGATCCGTGAAACCGACGTTGCCGAGGATCAACACCGCCGCAAGAACTCGGACCACGTCCAGAAAGGGTATACCCAGCACACCTGTCCACAATTTTTTTTTTTTTTTTTCATACGCAAAAAGAATTATGGCAAACTTATTCTTATTCGATGGTCCAAGATTTGGATTTGGATTTGGATTTGGATTTGGATTTGGATTTTTTTTTTTTTGGAAATTATCACGAGAAAGAATTTCGGATTTTTACGTACCCAAGCAAGCTTTCCACGCTTGAAACCTGATCGCGTCCTCAGCCTCGTCCTGCCTGGTATCCCCGTGCTGCAGATACCTAAGGTTCTTCAAGTTGTAACCCTCCAAGTTAAGTTTGACTGTCGAGTGAGATGAATATCGTGAATACAACGATATACGACGTGCGAATAAATAAGGGAAAATTAAACTTTACCTCGTTCCTCGTGCGACAGGCCGGCCAACATTTGGTAAAATATGTGATAGTTCTTCTCGTCGGGTAGGGGCCTGATCACTCGCGTCTGGTCCAGAAAGTAACAATGTATCTTCGTTCTGTACAAGGCGCCGTCCGTCACCTGGACCTCGATAAAATGACCCTGAATAAAAACGATCGTTTTACAATCCGTTCCGATTCCATCCGCGTGGATTAAAAAAAAAAAAAAAAAAAAAAACACCGAAAAAAAAGAAAGAAAAAAAGGAGGAAAAAGAATAAAATTGTACTATTCTAGAACTTTCTGAATTGGTGGCAGTCTTTGCGGATCCCAGAGACCTCAGAACCGTGAACGCCGCCGCCAAATGTTTAAAAGCATCCGTTTCAGGACCACCTCCCGCCACGTCGAACAGTTGCCTTAGTAGCAACATGGAGGCGTACGTCTTCCCGGAACCACTCGTTCCTAAAAAAAGGCGGAAATATAAATTACAATATAATATAATAATATTCGCAAATATTCTGTTCCGAAAGAAAGAAAGAGAGAGAGAGAGAGAGAAAGAAAGAAAAAATAGCGGATGATCGTTTACCGGAAAGAATGATGGCCTGCGGGTATCCAGTTTCCGACTGCTGTCTCACGGCCTCCTGAACGACTTTGTTCAGCTGGGGCGCCAAAGGTACGGCCCTGGTGCTCGTTAAGGTCAATGGATTCCCGACGTCCGTATATGGATTGATACAGACCAGTATGGGGCCCACGTTTGTCTGAAACGCGTTTCGATTATCTTACTCGTCCGATTGTCGGTCCGCTTGGGACCACGGGGGCCCCTCATCTTTGCGGACGACGCGAAACGAGACTACTTTTTCCTGTCTCGTCGTCCCGTCGTCCCGCTTTTTGCATCGTTATCGCGTATCAACCGCGTGGGTTATGGATGCCTAGATGCTTTGCCAACACAGCCAAGATTAATCGTGCCTCGATCCGATCTCGAGCATTTACCCGTTTACCTTTCTCGTTTTCCAATCGATTGATCAAAAATTTTTACGTTAAACGTATAATCAATCGTCGTTCGGTTCCTTACAAATTTCTCCTTTCGAATTCTTCGAAGATTTTTATTAGCCGAAAAAAAAGATAGATCGTAATTGCTCGATTTCACGTATTGTTAATGATTTTCTTTTCAATCTCGTCGCGTACGATTCAATTTCCTTTTTAAAAATTTTTTTAACAAATGATCGTTAAATTCGCAATCGTGACTTTATAACGGATCGTTATCTTATTGAATAATAAGATTAATAATTAATAACCCAAACTAGAAGGAAACTATTACTAACTACCCGTCCGACGAAACATCGATCGAAAAATCTCGATTCTCACTTAATAACAATCTACAACAATCCCCTTTCATCTCGATCCCGAAAATTACATCTTTTCTCGCAATTTTCAACGATAATACATAACTCGAAGCGGAGAAGAAAAAAGCAAGAAGAAAGCGAGAGAGCGTGCAAGAGCGTAGCGAGTTGAAAATAAGTGTAGCCAGGATGAGAAAAACGAGGAGCGGGATGAGCGAGAGGGGCGATGAGAGATTACGAAGGAGGCAGAGAGTGGAGGAGCAACGAGGAGCGGCGAGGCTTTGGCGGGTCTCGATTCCTATTAGAAGCCCACCTAGAGAAAGCAACACAGCCGTGCACGAGGAACAAAAAGGGGGGAAAAACGCCCGAAAGCCGAGTGGGGGGAGAGGGGGAGAGAGAGAACCGGTCCTATGTCGGGCCCCGTGGCCTCTGATTCCTCGCCTCGATTCCCTCCCTTCCTCGCCTCTCTACAGAGCTTTCGAGCAACTCTCTCGTACGATCGAGCTTAGATCCCTCCTCGAATTCAACGCCATCTAACACCCGTTCCCTCTTTCCTTCATTTATCCCATTCAAATCACAATTTACCGTGTCTAATTGATACTGAAATAATAAATAAATAAATAATAGGTTTTTTTTTTTTCGTTACATGTTTCGAGACGTTTATATTTATGAACTATTTTTTTATACGACAAATGTACGAAACGAAATAATCCATTTCGTATCTATGTATCTAAATTAATACATTACATCGAAATATATTTGAAAAGAAAACGAAGGAATGGCAGATACGAAGGAATCAAGGCCGATCTCAAACGCACACAAATAATTTATAAACGAACGAACAAACGCGGGATGTATAATAATAATCCCCTCCACTATTGAAACGAAACGATCCGATAATGACGGCCGATAATTAATCCACGGATATTCGAAAGGAAATCGCGTTCTTCGCGATGGCAAATAATTGTCGCCGCCCACCGGAAACCGCCGACCATCTTTTTGCCACCATCTTTTCAGTAGACGCGATCAAACCGCTTGATATCTGTCCAACGGTCAACCACGATACCCATCCACGGGCTATTATTTCTCTTTCCCTTCCTTTTTTCTTTCTTCCCCCCCCCAGGGCGTTTTCCCCCTTTCTCCTCGTTTTCGACGACGACGACCCATTGAGAAACTCGACGATCCCTTCTTCTTTCGAGGGAGGATTCTTACGAAGAAATACCCGGCCACCTCGTTAAATTCGATAAACCGGCTGTACATCGGGGCAAAATATGGATAATCGATATAGGGGGGGAGGGGGATCCTTGAGAGGGGGATCGTTTCGAAGAGTTTCGTTAATTGGTGCGGATGGGCGGAAGGGAGAAGGGCCGTTTCGTATCGAAAACGATTTTCGAAAATAATATCGACGGCGTTAAATGATTCGCGGACGGACGGTATCTCGGGTATAACGGGGCATTCATCTCAATTAGAGAGGCGGCACGAACTTATCGTGTCCTGTCGCCACTATCGAGGCCGAGAGTGATTGATGCACCGGCCGATTGAATTGGCGAAGGGCGAAGAATGCGGTGGCCGATTAGCACCGGCCGATTCGTTCTCCTACAACTGCGATTATAGGGGGAGAGGGGGGGGAGGAATGGCGGTGGCAAAGTTGAGGGAATTATGCATGCACGGATATCCACGCGTTGGCGTTCTTAAATCGTTCCTTCGATTTCACGTAACTCCCTCGCTTGCGTAAAATAAGATATAATATTCGGGTTCTCTCCTCGACGATAATAATAATTTCAAGCGATGAATGACGCAAAGTGAGAACGAGATACATATTTTTCGAAAAAATTGCTCGTTTAAAATCGAAGTATTGCGTATTACGTATTACGAGAAAGGTTTAAATTTGCGTGTGAAACAAGCGTCGTTTCGTTAAAAACAAAGGGGAGGAACTCACGTGGTACTGTTTGGCGCAGAATCGAGCTTGCAGACACTTGAGCACCGCGTCCTCCGTCAGAGGTCCAGGTAGATGAATGAGGTCGTCCAAGGCCGTGGAAGTGGCAGGCCCGGGAGAAGCCGCGGCACCTTTCGGGAGACATCGATGCTGACCCTGGTTGCTCTTCGCGTTTTTCACGTCGGCGATAATGCTGGAGATCGGCGGCGAGCGCAGGCAGCCCAGCGCGGTCACGCACGAAACTATACCGTCGTCCGGGATCCCATTGTGCCGCTTCGGTGGGTCCAAGTCTGTTCAAACGTGTCAAACGCTCGTTATTATCGATTTCTACTTTCTTAATTACGTATATTATTCGGTATTATTCGAAAATAGCGTTACGTTAAATCGTTAAAACCGAAATCGAGCCGAGTCACATTCACTGCTTTTAAAAAAGTGTTGCGATACGTTAAAGAATCTTGGTGCCACCTTCAAATCCGGTTGTTATAATTTTTCGAAAATAACCGTAATAGCCGTAATAAAGTTTAAAACTGTCGAATCGAGTCACATTGATTAGTTTTAAATTTTTAAAAAAGTGTTGCGATACGTTAAAGAATCTTGGTCCAGCATTCAAGTCCAGTTGTTACAATTTTTAATAAAAATAATCATAGAACTGTCGAGCCGAGTCACATTCACTGGTTTTAGATTTTTAAAAAAGTATTGCGATACGTTAAAGAATCTTGGTCCTATCTTCAAGTCCAGTTGTTACAATTTTTAATAAAAATAACCATAATACTTAGAACTGTCGAAGTCACACTGACTAGTTTCAGATTTTTAAAAAAGTATTACGATACGTTAAGGAATCTTGGTCCTACCTTCAAGTCCAGTTGTTACAATTTTTAATAAAAATAATCATAATACTTAGAATTGTCGAATCGAGTCACATTGATTAATTTTAGATTTTTAAACAATTGCTGCGATACGTTAAAGAATCTTAGCGCCGCCTTCAAATCCGGTTATAATTTTTCGAAAATATTTAAGGTTAGAATTGTCGAATCGAGTCACATTCACTGGTTTTAGATTTTTAAAAAAGTGTTGCGATAACGAAAGAATCTTGGTTTTACCTTCAAGTCCGGTTGTTACAATTTTTAATAAAAATAATCATAATACTTAGAACTGTCGAATCGAATCACATTGATTAGTTTTAGATTTTTAAACAATACGATACGTTAAAAATGTTGGTGCCGCCTTCAAGTCCGGTTGTTACGATTTTTCGACAATAGCCGTAATACTTAACGTAAGAAACCGAGTCACGTTGATTACGGTATAAAATTTTTAAAAATCGTTGCATCGCATTTTTTTTTTTTTTTTTTTTTACGTCGCGTTGAACAATCGAGATCGAGATAAGAAATATATAGGATAGTAAGTTTCAACGTTGTTACCAAACATTTTCACTCGGAGAAAGAAACGGGCGGAGGAGAGAAGCGTACGAGAGAAGCGTATTCAAACGTATCGCGGTTAACTGTACCCGTGTGCAATTTCGCCAGGCGGGGCTCGATTAACCGGAAGGGATTCGAGATCAGATGCGGCGTACCGAGCCACGTGAACCGCTTTTGCCGGCGCGCAAACATTTTTATTCTTCTCGGCTGGAAATCGGCGCGAAGGGCTCACGTCCGAATAAACCGCAAACTCTCTCTCTCTCTCTCTCTCTCTCGCGCGCGCGCGCGCGCTCGTGTTTTTTATGCCTTTTTTTTTTTGTGTTCCATCGAATCGAACGGATAGAAAAGTCGCAAAAAAAAAAAAAAAAAGAAAGAAAAAAAAGGTGGAGTGAGGAGAGGGGGAATGGATAAAAACAAGCAGAGCCAAAATCCGGGAGCGGAGAAATGGTAAATAAATCATAAAGCGTTGGGGAAATGGCAGTTCTGTAAACAGACGCGTTTACCGTTCCAATGATTTCGCGGGTTCCAAAGCTTCGAACTCTGGTTTTATTTAAAACATCGCGTACAATACCCCCACCGCCCCACAGAGCCACGGGGAAAAAGCTGCCCTCGCTGTGTTCTATCGCGAATTAACGTAATGACGATATTACGCGCCGTTTAAATATTAACGAGCTCGGAACGGACTCGATGAATGTCCAAGTGAACGGCAGCTCCCGATTTACATATACACCGCGATCCGTTTTAATTCGCAATAATCGACAGCACTCGTCGCTTATCCGGCCGAGTTACGTAATAAATTCCACGGCAAACATTCCCTCCCCGATATCCCCGGGACGGTATTCGATTCCGATCGACACGCTGTTCGGACGATCGAACAGACTTAAAATATTAAATCGCGGCGTGTATTAATCGATTCGTCCGAAATAAATTCGTATTATTAACCTCCTGTTACACGAACTTGAAAAAACTTTTCCATCGACGATATAACAATTCACCCTTCGTGAATTGTCGTAAACCATTTACCTACCACCTTTCCCTTTTTCCCCTCATACTCAAACCTCGAGCGAATCGCCTAAACCCTAAATCCTAAATCTTGAAGGAAGGAGGGGAGTGGAGGAAAAAAATGCACCTATGGCTACTCCAACGGTAACAACAACGTCCAATCCCATATCCGTAAGGCAAAGCCGCAACGTCCCGGCCGAATCCGTGACACGGAGGGTGGGCGGGCGCGCGTGCACAGCGTTGCACGTACACAGCACCGCAGCATACTGACCGGATATTAAATTATTAGCAGCGGTCGAGTTGTGGCCGAGCGTGTTCGCGGTGACGGCGTGATTGACGTGCGGATGAACGATGGCGGACGCCGTCAACGTGTGCCCCGAAGGATGGCCGAGGGAGTGCGGCAGTGCGGCCGAGATCGGTAACGTGGTCCTCGGCGGGACGGCGGGCGCGGGGGACGATGGTACCCCGCCCTTTTCCGGGCTCTTGGACAGGGGCGCGGAGGCGGCGCTGTTCGGCCCTGAATTGTTCGGCGGCTGGTTCACGTGCAGCCGGTTCCTCAGGGTCACCAGTTCCGTGCTCAGGCTCCTGAGACGCTGCTGGAGGTGCACGGCTTCGTTCGAGGACGAGGCATCTGAAACGAAAACGTTGCTAGAATCGTCTCGATTCTTCTTATCTATGGGTGACGAAGATGTGTTTATTGGAATCCAGATGTGCGTGAGAGGAATAATATGGATAATAATAATTTGGATAAAAAAGTATATTTTTGTTCGCGCGGAAGAAAAGAAAAAGTTGGTTTCGTAGATATGTAGAAATGATAGGAAAGATCGATTCAACCGCTTTTCGTCACTCGATTAACATCGTGTTGATCCACTCACGGATACAACAACAATGGGAACTTCGATCTCGGTTGAATTAACGATCTCCATCGAGGATTATATATACGATTCGTTCGTATTTCATATCGCATTTCATACGATATCGATTAAAAGCGATACAAATTTTCCTTTCTATAATACCTCTATCGATCGAATTTATCCAATTGCAAATAATTGCGTGACATTGAAAAAAATCGATCGATCATGCGAAGCACGTTCCCCCGTCGGATCGAAGGGAGGGGGAAATTTGGAAGAACGTTCAACCGGGGCGGGGTGGATAGCTCGGTCGGTCGGTCGGTCGGTCGGTAAAAATGGCTCGGTACGTAGGGGAATGTTTGTTATGCGCGGTGGGTGGTTGGCAAACGAGGGTACGCTTCCTGGCGGCGATAAAAGGGTTATTGCGCGTTTCGCTCGCGAGCAAACACCGCCAAATTCGCAAATTCGTGGTCGTCCCTCGTTTTCTAAATGAATTATTTCTATATCGGCGAAATGGCCGAGCGGCCTCTCTCGACTTCTCTCGCCTTCCTCCCCTTCCTGAATTTTCCAACGTGTCCACGTTATAGGCAATTTAGCCGGGGCAAAGGCGGCAACGAACGAGCCCCCGTTTACGTTTAATAGCCGACTGCCAACCCCCGTGGAAAATGTACTTAGCGCAACAAGCCCCGTGTTGCCGTGTTGAATATTTCACGTGGAAATTGCACGCGTCGCGTAATCGCGGGACGATCCCTAAAAAAAAAAGAAAAAAAAAAAGAAAAAAAAAAGAAAAAAAGAAATTTCCCGCCCTCGTTAGCCATTGATCGCGCCACGTGGAATTATTCATTTAGCATCATAATAACGGCACACACGATAATATTCCACGAGCTCGTTAATGCACGATGGAGTAGGAGTAGGATCGATACAAGTGTGTGTGAGGAGGGGAGGGGTGATTCTTCGTCGAACGGATAAATGGAAACCGCGGTGTTTTCTTTTCGATCATCGTTCGTTCGACTCGAAGAGGGATTATTGATATTAACCTTTGCCTTTCTTTCTCTCTCTTTCTCTCTCTCGTCGATCGAATCGAACGAAGAAGAAATCCAGAGGAACCAGTTTTGAGAAATTTTAATCGAGAACGATCGCTCTTCTTCCATTCGTTTGCGTTATTTATTTATATATATATATATATTCCGTTGCGCATCGAATCGCACCATTCTATCATCGCAGAAAATCTAATCACAGGAAAATGTACGGAAGAATTCGATCGAAGGGGAGGGGACTCACGGAAAATTATCAAGGAATTAACCAGCGCGGAACATTGAAACGCGGTTTCCAAACGGGCACCAGTTCGACGAGTTTCACGAATATGGGACACGAGAGAGGCTGGTTCACGCGGCACGCAGATACGCGGTCGTTTTGTCATAGCGAGCGGACGTGTTCGTTTTTTTAAATTGTACCGATTAGAAACCAGTATCCCGTAACCCGCGTAGAAAACACGTCTGAAAATATCCTAAAAATCGATGGAAAATTCCGATAACACCCGACATTTCTTTTCTTCCTTTTTTTCTTCTAATAGTTCGAGTAACGGTAATCCCGATATTATATATCCCGAAGAAGAAATCCTGACAATTTAATTCCCCCCCTTGAGAAAGATGCGATGCGAAGAACCGCGAGCGGAAGCGGAAGCGGAATCGGATCTTTTGACAGCTGCTTCTTAACTCTTTCCTCGCTCCAATGAGGAGAGCAGAAGAAGCATACACCTCGAGCAATGCACCTGTTCTCATCCACGTGGTCATTAGTGTCACGTAGCTGCGGCGAATTAGGACGAGTCTTTTTTTCTTTTCTCTCGCATCTCAATCACATCCCCGACGCGACAATTCTTCTTTCCGAATTTTCACACGTTGTTAAAGATTAGTAACCTAATCGATATGAAATATAAATGTATGAGACATCGAGGGAGAAGAAGATCGGAGAAAGAACAGAAACGGACGGGAAGGATGATTTTCTTCGTCTCACCACCCGGGCCTCACCCCCTGTTAATTCGCCCCTGCGAAAGACACCTGTCGATCGAGTGTCAAGGGGTCAGGGCACACGAAGAGCCGGCACACACCTGTCAACTGTACTTGATCTCACGCTCGCGTGACAGATCCCCCTCGTTTCTCCGACTCTCGTTTCAACGTCTCCGCGCTATTGTGTCTTGGATTAACGGTACCCGGTGGACGGCTGTCTACGAGCCGAGTCAGGAATACCGAGATCCTCGCGAGTTATTCACGAGAAACGGGAGCAATCCCGCGAGAAAGCTAAGCGTGTAACGGACAGACAGGCCACGACATCTCTCGTTCCTTCTGATGGGGGGCTGGAAAATGGTGGAAAAAGGTGCCATTTCCTTCCTTCCTTCCTTCCTTTCTTACTTTGAAAACTTGCGAAAAACTATTGCTACTCTTTTCTCTCTTATTTCTTTTCCTTTTCTTTCTCTTTTTTTTTATTTTTCTTTTCTTTTCTTTTTCGTTCATAAGAGAAACATCGCGCCGGCTCGAAAAGGTGGTTCGTTTTCCGAAGGGGGTGAGGAGACGCGTCGAAGGCGAAGGAAGTGTGACTTTCGAAATAATCACTCCTTTCCGGGCGACGGCGCCCGAGGAATCGAGATTTACGAGCGACCATAGCGCTCGTACACTTGGCTTCTTTTCGCTCCACTCTACCCTCTGACTCATTCACCACGCCACCATTTTCATTCATCTTTACGCCAATTCGCCATCTTCTTTTTTCGTCTCCTTCTTCTTCTTCTTATACGAAGAATAATGCTTTGTCACGCTTATTCTCCAGAATGGAAAATATGTACTTCTCTCTCTCTCTCTCTCTCTCTATATATATATATATATATATATATATATATATATATATATATATAAATTTTGATTTGTTTTCACTTTCATGGATACGATTGATTGCAACGGATCCTCTTTGAAAGATTTTGTTTCAGATATGAAAATAAATTGTCGTCGTGTTCTCTTTTTCAAATGTACACGTTGCGAAAGATCGTGAATGTCGATTATCGTGCAGCCACGTCGAATACAGATCGTAACGTCTGAGAGAGCGACGCGTAAATAATGCAACGCGCGTCGGCCGATTCGCGAGCCGCCGTTAAATAAGTTATTTCCTCGAGCCTGTTACGAAACTAATCTCGTATCCGGAAGTTAGTGGCCATTAGAACCGGTCGTACGGACTATATATAGATTCTCGAATTAAAAAAGGAAAGCAGGAAGAATATTACGAGGAGAAATTAACGAGGGGAGCAAATATTTAAAGAAAAAAAAAAAAAAAAAAAAAAAAGGGAGAAAGATAATAAGATGAAGGATAGATTTTGGCTCGATAGAGAGTCGAGGGAGGGACGGAAAGAGAGGGGATATAGTGAAAAGGATGAAATCAAAGCGAGGAGAGAGGGATTAAAAGTCTAGGGAGAGAGGAAAGTGGTGACAAAGAGAATAAATAGTAGAAAAAAAGAACACTGGAGACCAAAGAGGGGGTGGAGTCAAGAAAAAAGCCGAAAGGGAAGAGAAAGAATAACTAACGAAGGGAAGGAGAGAGGATAATCAAAGAAGACAAAGAAGAGTGGAAAGAGAGAAATTCATTGAGGGAGAGAGAAAGAGAAAAAAAAACAGGAAAGTATACGAAAGATCAAAAAAAACGACACGACGTCATGGATCGTGGTAGAGAAGATAAAGAGAAGATCTGAGAGAATGAAAAAAAAAACGAATAAGAGAGTTTGAATGGCGGGAAAGAAAGCACGGCTCGTATTATCGCAACGAGGTAAAAGTTCAGTTCGATCCGTTTTGCGAACGGTTAAACGCACGATTCGTATATATCGAGGAACGTTGGATGTCGGTCGAAATCGATCATATTTATCCCTGTGAAAGCATATTCACTCTCGTGAAAAGTATATTTTTAAATCGGTCCTTCCGAACCGTAACGAATTGATCGACGACCGAAATTATAGAGAAGACGATTTTTAGACGACGACGTGAGTTTCGTGAAAAATTCACAATTCTCCGATCGATACCACGCTTGGAGAAACTTGGACGAGCCGGCTTTTTAACGGAGGCGAGACGAGAAATAATTCGGATCCTTTCGATCGATGTCGTTTTCGAGATCGTCGCGCCATCTAAGCAGAGTCGAAACGTCGAGACGAATTCGGATACTTGTACCCTTTCGACGAATTAATTATAATCTTCCCTTATTATCGTTTCAAACTTCGAGGACGACACTTTCCATCTGGAAGACTTTACGTATGCGGGAGAGACGAAACGGAAAGGGTCTCGGCAGGTATACACCGGACGAGGTCCTAGCGCGGCGGAATTAAAGCGAACACAGGTACCCTTCGGGTGTACCTGAATGCCCGTTCGAAGAAAAACAGGTTCCCTTTCGTCTTCTTCCTCTCACGGCCACTTCTGTCTACACCACGTTCGCGTTAACACCGAAGAAGAATCGTCTTCTAGCCGGAATACGGTCCTCTGTTATGAGGAGGGACGAGTACGAGACGAAAGGGGAGAAAAGGACGGGGAGCTTCCCCCTCTTTTATTCGCGGCCAGGGACACGTAGTCAGAACCTAGCCAACATTCGTTATCGCGATTCCAACTTGAATTCTAACCGGATTCGTGGCATGGAATTGGTCGATCCCTCTTGTGCGAAAAGAAATGTAGATTTTTTCCACCACTTCTCACAGGAAACGAGAATGAGTACAGAGATGGAAAGACGTTGAACCAATCTTGAGGATCCCTATGGATCG